CCTGCCGGGGAGGGACCATGGGAGGGCTCCAGGGCATGTCCAGCACGTCTCGTTCAGTCCCCATCAGCCGGACCCCAGCAGCATGCTAACCTACCTGTTGGAGTGTCTGCCCCCTGGTGGTCAGTGCATGTCATAGTGAGCGGTTGAGCGGCCTTAGCATATCATTAGCATATTACGCACTGATTGGTTGAATGGCCGATCAGCCGACCGGACACTTAGCATATTAGGCTTTTCTTACATAAGATATAGCAAATATAATCCTATATAATAAAGGAGCCTTTCCTGACCTGCGAGTGTCTCCCTCCCTCTGTAGAATTTCTGTCCCGCTGCCACACCTTCCCCTGGATTGCTTTGCAAAACTGAGAAGCAGAAGCAGGAAGGAGACGGTCAGGCCTGCATGGCTTGCCCAAGGACCCACTGAAATTCCCCCAGAAAGCATTGTGAGGAACCCCTACTTTTACACTTGCTCACACTGCAGAGCAGTTTCAAAGTACAAGAGTACTGGGTCAGGAGACTAGTTGGCACAGGGGCCGTGGTTAGGGCTCACCAGCCCCTTCATATGTTGCAAAAAAAAAAAAAAATACAAAAACAAAAACCAAAAGTGGAGAGGGTGAGTCCCTTGTCCAAAGCCGCACGGCCGGAAAGAGGCTCATTCGGACCGAAGCTCGGATCTTCTGCTCGCCTGGCGCGAGATCCTCGGGTGGAAACAAAAGCGCTGGGCAGAGCAGGGAACAGGGCGTCCTGAGAAAGGCAGCCAGGCCTTGTTACGGCACCAATAGCAGGGGGCAGGGCTCTCTCTCTGTGTCACAAATGGAGAGCCAATAACAACAACAGAAACAAAAAGAAAACACAAAAAAACACGTCTAGAAGGACATGTCAGGGTCTATTGAAAGGAAGTGTTAGGAGTGAGGACACTGAAAAGAGAGATGTCTAGCCCGGCCGGTGTGGCTCAGTGGTTGAGCTTCATCCTAAGAACCAGGAGGTCACGGTTCGATTCCCGGTCAGGGCACAGGCCCAGGTTGCAGGCTCCATCCCCAGTAGGGAGCATGCAGGAGGCAGCCGACCCATGATCCTTTCTCATCATGGCTGTTTCTCTCTCTCTCCCCACTCCCTTCCTCTCTGAAATCAATAAAGATATATATTTTTTAAAAAGAATCAACCAGTGAATGCATAAATAGATGGAACAATATGTCCAGCTGGTGTGGCTCAGTGGGTTGAGCGTCATCCCATGAACCAGGAGGTCACAGTTCGATTCCCAGTCAGGGCACCTGCCCATGTTGTGGGCTCCATCCCCCAGTAGGGGGCGTGCAGGAGGCAGCTGATCCGTGATCCTTTCTCATCATGAATGTCTCTCTCTCTCCCTCTCCCTTCCTCTCTGAAATCAATAAAACTATTTTTAAAAGAGATGTCAAAGGGGAAACTGAGAAAGAATAGACACCCGTCTCCCTCTCCTCCCGCCTGCAGCCCATTTCTTCCTCCTGGAGGGGAAGGCATGGAGAGACCAGATACCAGACGTCGCGCGGCCAATGAGAGAACAAAGCATTTAACCCAACGACAGCCATTCCCCCCGCCCCCCCAGAGCCTCAGCCTCCACTTGATCAATGATCCTGCAACATTGAATCGGTTTTAATTTAATGCTTCTGGGAAGGATG